TCTCTCTCTCTCTCTCTCTCTCTCTCTCTCTCTTTCTTTCTTTCTTTTTTTCCGAGACAGGATTTCTCTGTATAACAGTCCTGGCTGTTCTGGATCTCGCTCTGTAGACCAGGCTGGCCTGAAACTCACAGAGATCCACCTTGCTCTCCCTCCTGAGTGCTGGGATTAAAGGCGTGCGCCACCGCTGCCCAGCCTGGCATGGTGTTTCTTAACAGTGATGTCAGTGAAGCCAGAAGGAAAGAAAAGTCAAAAGAGAGTTTAAAGGAAGGAGTACGTCAGCATGAGTAGCATGCATTTTAGTCCTAGGACTCAGGAGGATCCCTGAGTTCGAGGACAGCCTGATTTACATAGAGTTCCAGGCCAGCCGGGGCTACACAATAAACAAATAACATAGTTGTGGTATCAAGTGAGGGAAACGTGATAAGACTTTTTAAACCGGGAGCAGAAGTTGTGGATTATGGGGAAAATGAAGTAGGCACATAACAGCAAATTTTAAAAATAATTACTGTTGTCTTTTAAAAGTGGCGAGGAGTCACACCATACAACAGGGCCCACGTGGGAGGTTTATTCAGGAGAGGGGGAGAGAAGGAGGCAGAGAAGGGAGGCAGAGACTGGTCCCCAGGGACAAGAGCAAAGGAAGTGAGTGAGTGAGTAAGGCCCACTTTTTGTAAGGAAACAGCGAATGCTCAGAACGGGTGCTCTTAGTGGCTCTAGCTGAAGATACATCTTGTCAGGACCCTAAGGGCAGGCCAGTACAGATGCCTAAATGCTAACGATTATAATTATGAAAAGAAGAATGAAAGTGATTGATGCTTAGTAAGGCTTTATTATTGCCATTATTAGTTGTATTTTATTTATTTGAACCCAGGACTTTGTGCATGTTTGGCAAGCTATCTACTACTGATCCGCATTCCTAAACCCATCATCACCATCACCATCATAATTATCATTACCACTACTGTCTATGAGACAGCTGGGCAGTGGTGGCGCACACCTTTAAATCCCAGCACTCGGGAGGCAGAGGCAAGCAGATCTCTGTGAGTTTGAGGTCAGCCTGGTCTACAGAGCGAGTTCTAGGACAGCCAAGAATAGCTAAGACTACACTGAGAAACCCTGTCTTGAAAAAGCCGGGTGGTGGCGGCACACGCCTGTAATCCCAGCACTCGGGAGGCAAAGCCAGGCAGATCTGTGAGTTCGAGGCCAGCCTGATCTCCAAAGTGAGTTCCAGGAAAGGCGCAAAGCTACACAGAGACTACACAGAGAAACCCTGTCTCATAAAACCAAAGAAAAGAAAAAGAAAAACCATAAATAAATAAATAAATAAATAAATAAATAAATAAATAAATAAATAAATAAATAATGCGGGAATGGAGGTGGTGGTGCCATACACTACTAGGCTATGCTGAAGAGACAATGACAGGTGAATCTTTGTGAAGCCAGTCTGGTGCATGCAGAGAGTTCCAGGCCAGTCAAGGGTTATGTATAGACCCTGTCTTAAATAAATAGATAGATAGATAGATAGATAGATAGATAGATAGATAGATAGATAGATAGATAGATAGATAGAAATAAAAGCTGGCAAGATGGCTCAGCAGGCAACCTTAGTTAAATCCCTGGAACCCACGGTGAAAGGAGAGATCGGACTCACTCTCCCCACAGAGGAAATAATAAATGAAATTAAATTTAAAAATAAAGAAGGCTGGAGTAAAAAAGGCCCAATGGTTAAGACCACTCTTTCAGAGGATCTGTTCAATTCCCAACACCCACATGGTGGCTCCCAACCGCTTGTAACTTTCGCTGTAGGGGATCTGATGCCCTCCTCTGGACTCTGAAGGCACTGCATGTATATGGTGCATGGACACATGCAGGGAAACTCCCCATACACATTTTTAAAAATCTTAACAAGGAGAGAAAATATTGGATGCAATTACAATCTTTTTATTTTGTTCTTTTTTATATTTACTTATTTTTATTTATTGAGATAAGGTCTCATTATGAGTCCCTAGCTGTCCTTGAACTCCATTTATAGATAGAGAATTGCCTGCCTCTGCCTCAGAGTGCTGGAATTAAAGGTGTGTGCCACCATGCCTGGCACAGTTACAATCTTGAGGAGTCAGGATCTAATATGTAAATGCAAGATTGCCCTTAAAAGGTGTGATGACATCTCTTTTCATTATTAAAAGAAAGAACACAACTTAAAAAAAGAACAGTAAAAGGCTGATGAAGTTGAGAATGTATCTAAGATTATTTTCTATAAAACGTACATTTCACAGTTATTATAAGAATGAGTTACTATATATAAAACCTTTAGCACATTGAGCGGGTACATTAAGCTCTTTCTCTTGTAAGAAATGTCTTGAAAATGTTAGTTGGTGATGGTGTTAACTGTTGACAGGAAAGGGTGGTTGAAACTAGCTAGATGTACAACAACCATTAGTCCACAGAGACTGAAGTCAACTTCTTTGTGTCCTTTTTTGGTTTTGTTTTGTTTTTTATTTGTTTGTTTCTTTGACACAGGTTTTCTCTGTGTAGCCCTGGCTGTCCTGGATCTTGATCTGTAGACCAGGCTGGCCTTGAACTCACAGAGATCTGCCTGCCTCTGCCTCCCGAGTGCTGGGATTAAAGGTGTGCACTACCACCACTGCTAACTTTTTTCTATTTTAAAAATCAAATGGAATCTATTTTAGGTAATTGTATATTCATATATAAACATAAAATTATATATACAGGGTTGGGGTGTAGATTAGTAATACAATACTTTCTAGCATACACAGGATTCTGGGTTTGATTCTCAGCACCACAGACATGATTCTGTGTATCTTTTTACTAATGTGTAAAAATGGGTTAAAACGTGACATTGACACATAGATTAATTCCAAGAGATAATTATGCTGAGAATGAGGCTAGGGTAGTGATCGATTACAATGGAACAAAGGGAGATAAATGTCTGGTGGATTATTGGCAATAAAATGTACATTATAATAGTAAGGAGTTAATTATAGAGAATGCTGTTTTCCCTTTTCAGTTTAAAATGTATTTACTTACTCTGTGTGTGTGTGTGTGTGTGTGTGTGTGTGTGTGTGTGTGTGTGTGTACATGAGTGCTGACCTCCACACACATATTCACTATGCAAAGGTCAGAAGACAACCCACAGGAGTTAGTTCTCTTTTTCCACTTTGTTGGTTCTGGGGATTGAACTCAGGGCCTTAGGCTTGTTGGCAATTGCCTTTACCCTCTGAGTCATCCCCCTAGTCCAGAAAGCTGCTTTTCTATTGTTAAAACTTAAAAAAAAATGTAGAAGCAAGATCATTTGATCTATACAGAGCATTGATAAAAGGGGTTAAACCTTATGGGCAGGTACTATTTTGTTTGTTTCCGTTTTTTTTTAAGAAGGGAGTCCTGCTATGTAGCTGTGACTGGCCTGGAAGTAGCTATGTAGACCAAGCTGGCCTCAAATGTATGACAATCTTCCTTCCTCTGCTTCCCACGTCCTGAGATTACAAGTGTTAGCCACTACACCCAGGTTTTAGCTGGTGGGTTAGTAAAACTGTGATTACTTCTGTGGAATAAACACTGTTCCAATGGTAATTGTATCTACTTTTAAAAAAATATCCATATTATTTTTATGTGTATGGGTGTTTTGTCTGCACATATGTCTCTGAACCATGTGCATGCCTGGTGCCTGCAGAGATCAGAAGTGGGCATTAGATTCCCTGGAGCTGGAGTTGTAAGCCACCATGTGAGCACTGGGAATTGAACCTGGATCCTTTGGAAGGGCGGCCTGTGCTCTTAACCACTCCAGCATCTCTACAGCTCCAGCATCTCCTTCAGATATACAATCCCTTCTCTACACAGTTCACCATGTTCTTGGAGAAACCAAAAACAAACATTTGAAAAATCCAAGAACAACTGATAGCATCTTTTTAGACTCTAAAGTTTAGAGTATCTAAAGCTTAAAGAAATACAAGCTAAAAAGTTTTCTAAAAAATGCACGTCTTAACATTACTATGAAAATAATCTTGATATCCGTAGACTCCTTGAAAGTACCTTGGGGTTCCACTAAGGTCTGCTGACCTTACTTTAAGAACTGGTTAGCAGACTGGAGGGATGGCTCAGCAGTTAAGAGCACTGGTTGCTCTTCCAGAGGACCCAGGTTCAATTCCCAGCACCCACCTGGCAGCTCACAACTGTCTGTAACTCCAGTTCCAGGGGACCTGACATCCACACACCAGTGTCCCCACTCCTATCCCTGGTTTTTGGAAATCATCACCTTAGGTTATACAATCTGTGTACAAAAAATATAAATCCTGAAAGAGATCATCATAAGTGATCTCTCCAGAATTCTAGCTTAATTCCAGAGAGCCGGATATATGGCAAAATAAATTAATAACACCTGGTAAAGGACAGCCAAGAGTTACAGTGCTGTAGAAGAGCAATCGACAGAAAGCCAGACTGCTTTCAACCCATTACCTAGTGTTAGAAACACTCTGAACATCATTCATTCATGCCCC